CAAACTCTGCACGGACAGCATTTAGACTGCACACTGTAGGAACAAGAAGTAAAACTTATTTTAGACTGGAGGGGGACTTAATGACCTAATCTGTCAATCAAGTTTTTGCTGCAAGGAAGTTCATTGCAGCTTCATTAGGGGTTTTTCAAGGAAAGCAAACAGCTTCAGTGAAAATAGCACATACAGATCCGAGCTGAGGCAGACTGTACATAAGACAGAGCTGCCTCACCTTTATCAAATACAGAAAGTGTTTGTACCTGCATGTGTGTTTGTGTAAATATGACCAGGGCTTATTATAAAACACAACGTTGTCACTGTATGTATCCTCTCAACCCACATCTCACGTTATATTTGCTAATAATGGTAAAGTCCAGCTATTGATCTGCCATTTAGGCCCATTTAAGTAGTTATTCTGTGGCATTAATTGGATTTAGTGAGAATGAAGATACAAACAGAAAGAAAATGGGACAGAAATACTGGAGAGAACACTTTTCATCTGTGAATGTCTCAGGACACATCCAAGTGAACTCAGAGCCTGGCTAGAAAACAGAGATGATGATACTGTACAGTACTGAGATTAGATATATTGAGTCATGGTCCAGAAAGAATGGGAGAGGAAGAAAACAAACAAACAAAGAAATTAAATCACATTCACATTTTGTCATTTGTACACATGCAGCAGGGGAAATAGCCCTTGTCGTAGAAAGGAGAGGGAGTGCAATATGAAGGAAGTACAGGAGGGAAATTAATTCGAAGATGTCTCATTCCCAGGTAGGAGCAGTTTTCTGGAGTGACTCACACTTTCCAGTTGATCAGATGGAAACTGGTTATACAGTCGTTTGTGAGATAAGAAGTGTTGCAAAAGAAACTAAATATTAAAAGAATATAAAACACAAGCTGCTCCCATGAATTATCAAAATAATCAGCCTTTCATTATCAGTCATCAACACAGCAGGTAAAGAGAGGCAAAAACAGCTAACAACAGTGGTTAAAAGCATCTGAGCCAACACAAAGAACCCAGACTTGTTTTTTAGGCGGTTTCTCCTCAATAAAAACGACAGTATTATTGCAGATCTCAGCACTTGGTCGATTGTTGTGGCACCGCGTTGTGTGGAAAGTACCGCAACTGTGTACCGATCGCATGCTGTGGTCACCGGGGGGGAGGGAGGGTGGTCATAGTGTGGTGCAGGAGGTGGAGTGTTGGGTGACGAGGCGAAAAAAACAAACACCAAAACACAGATTGTCAATAAAAGCTTGAGCTAAATTCCTGCTTCAGTGTGTGTAATGTGGGGTAGAATGAAATAACAGTGAGGATGAGGTGTCTCATATGTGCCCTAAAGTGGAAGCTCAGCAGTTTTTGGGGTAAAAACAAGTGCTTCTAGTGATTTAGAAAATAAAGTGGAGGGTAGGGGGGCACCAAATTATACTTTTTCTACACTTCTTCATCTGACATTTTTGTGCCTGCAGCAGGGGGAGGGGGGTTACCACTATGGCACACATGCGTGGTCATTGGCATGTAGAGGAGCAAAGTACGGGGTGCAGTGTTTGACGTGTAAATGTTAGGATGTGCAAACATTTAGGTGTCGTGTTGAGATCAAATATGTACACATTTCTTTGTGCTTCTCAGGTACAGTCGCTGTGTGATGGCACAGGACGTTCCTGTGTTTGCTTTTCTGACCCACGACTCCCACCAGTGTGTGTAGTAGTATTTGTCTCTCTCTGGTTTCCAGTGTTTAGTGTGTGAATGCCCAGTCTACAGAGTTATAACGGTGCCATCCTCCTCCAGACTCCGCCTCTCCATTGCTCTGTCTGGCGACGGCGTGGTCGAGGTGGCATTGGCGTTGGTCAGCGATCCGCTGCTGCCGCTGGCTGGCAGGGTCCCGTTGGCATGGATGGAGAGAGCGGAGGTGGAGGTGGCGGCGGTGCGGAGGTTGAGGTGCGGCTCATAGCGAGGCAGCGAGGGCATGCTGTAGTTGGAGGGGGCCCGTCTGATGGGCTCAGCCTCGCCCCCCACCTCGATCACCAGGTCCTCGTCGTCCTCGTCGCTCTCCAGCTCTCCGGCGGGGAAGTTCTGGATGATGTGCGACGGCATGGAGGCGGCGGCGCTGACCCCACCCTGCGATGAGTAGCCATAGTAGCTGGCGCCGCTGTCCGACGAGCGTCCCGAGCTACCGGACGCCGCGCCTCCTCCTCCACTGCGAACAACATTGTTCCGCTGGTTGGCAGGCTTGACGGTGATGATGAGGTTGTGGCTGTTGGCGATCATCATGTCCGTCACCTGGTCCAAAGACTTTCCAGCCACCTCGATACCGTTCACCTCCAGCACCTCGTCATTTACCGCCAGCAGGCCGGTGCTCTCCGCCAGCCCGCCGGGCACCATGCGGGAGATGAATATGCCCGGGACCTTCTCCAGGCCCTGTGGAGTGACCCGTACGCTGGAGCCATCGCGGATGTAGAAGCCCAACGGTTTTTCCTGGCCGTGCTTGTACAGGCGAACACGGCGGTGCGTCTCAGGGAGAATGTCCACATCGATGATGGAGGAGACGGGGCGGAAGTCCCTGGGGAGGCTGATGATCACCGGCGGCTTTTTCCTGTTGGTGTCAGGCCGCAGAAGAACCGCCGAAAGCACTGGGTTTCTCTTCCTGGTCAGGGAGTCGGTACCAAATGTTGTGTAATCAGCTTCCTCTGCAAAATAAAAGATAGAGGAAGTGGAGAAAGAGAAGTACAGAAGAGGAAGAGAGGACAAAGATGTGGCGTAGAGACAAAAAGAGGAAAAGGTGGCAGAGAGAAAGGGAAGAGAGAAACAAAGGAGGACATACGTTAACAAAAGCCAGTTAATTTCCCATTAACATCAAACAGGGCTCAGTACACATGAAGTTGTTATTCAGGCTGACATTCTGTTGCATCATGTACTTCAGGAGAATGAAGAATGCTTTGCAATGGAGCGGCTCTCAGCCTGAGGCATCCCTGCAGAGTGTCTGTGCTGAATACACACAAGATGTTGATCCCTGGAACTTCCCTCAGGTCGTACTGATGCAAACTGCCACGCCAGCCAAGGGCGCTCGGTCCAACTTCCAGTCACGGTCAAAGGCATGTGGGTGACAGCAGGTGCCTATGGTATTATAGATTTAATATGGTTTGTGTCACAGATCTGAATTCTCTATTCTCAGCCTGGGATAGAATGAATCAATGAAGGCATTACGTCTCAACAATGGGGGAAAAGGCAAGCTGTGCTCCTGACCAACAGCTTTTGAAAGACTAGATTGACATTTGGGAAAATACATATTTGGGCTCAACAACAAGGCTTGTAAGTAAATCTAGCAAATCGAAAAAGAAAATTCTCTGGAGCTGATAATGGAAGTTAAGCTAATGAGGGCCATCTCGCTTCCTTCTCGTCTCTGCTGAGAGTCGCATATGCACAGTACCAATCGGGCACGTTTGAGAAAATTTGAGAGCAAGGTGGATAAAACCGGGTAATTCAAAGGCACATCACATTTCTGAAAAAGCCATGACAAGAGCCGACAGCATCTCACTTGCATGGCAGTTAAGAGAGTTGCCAACAACCCCTCCTCCGGGGCCTTGCTGGTGCTTGTACAAAACACAGACAAAGAGGCCAGTTCTCACACACAAAACCAGTGTATGAACATGACAACTTCCTAACTTATAAACTATATAAACGTTGTCTGATAACCACTAATAAATAAAATAATTTGTATGGGGTCAAGTAAAAATGTAAATATTTGCCTGACGGGGCAAGTGAAAAAAGAATGATTGTACCCCAATAACCCCAATACCAGTCACATACTGGTCCATTAAATATGAAGCTACAACCAGAGACAGTGAGCTTAGCCTAGTATAACAAAGGGAAGCAGGAGGACACCATTAACTTGGCTTTGCCTAAAAGTAAAAGCACCTCCAAAGATCACTAACGAACACACTACATCTATTTTTTGTGGTGGTTTCACAGGGTACTGCTTTGTGGCCAAGCACAGTGACTTTCTGGAGTCTTGTCGTCACCTCCAGGAATGTTTTTTACACAATACAGGACACAAAGCTAAGCTCATAACCTCCTGGTTGTAGCTTCACATTTAAGGGACAAATATGAGACTGGAAGCATCTTCTCACGAAACTCTCAGCAAAGCAAATGAGTGCATTTCCCTACTCCCATAAAGATTTTTGGTCACCGGTTTCAGATGAGAGAATGGTCACATCTGAACCAAGAATATTATTAAACCCTGCTCTTTGTTATGTACATTTTGAGGAGGAAGTGTGTACACTGTCAAGCTGCTATAGACTTTAACCCAACATGGCTGACATTAACACTAGAGCAGGGCAGGTAAGGGAGGGAAACACTGGACCTTGGATCTTAAATAGTTAACCAGCATAATACACGCAGCTAAACATTAACACCACACATCTTTGTGACTGTCATTCTCCTCGATTTGCCTGATAAACTCAAGTTTTTGTCTGTTTCTGATGTTATTTTTATCATCTTTCTTTTGAACTTGTTCACCTTGTTACTGTTTTTCACCACTTTGTAAACTCTGCTTTTAGATGAAAGCACTCTAAAAATAAAGCTCTGGCAGTCTCACACTGAACACTTCTCTTCCTCTGAGTGTGTGGGTGGGTGTGTGGGTGTGTGTGGGTGAGTAATCTGGGAAAATATCCATTCAGGTGGCTGATAAAGATTCCGGCTCTCAGGTTCAGATACGCACCCCACCACTCCCCTCTCCGTTCCGAAAACCAAAACAAAGGATCAACTGTCTCGAGAAAGAGCGACAGTCTCGCGTTTCGGTTCCCATGAGGCACGAGTCCTGTGTATACACGCTTACTATATCTTTGCCAGCCCTGACCTTATGGGCCAACTCCACATGAGAAAAGAAATAAAGCAACAATAGCTGAAACACGAGTTTCATCATCTGAGCATCCCGTTCTGTTCTTCCTGCAAGCCTTACCCTTGCCATGCATGTAAACACTGCCATAAAGAGAAGCATTATGCAAAAACGGGTGTACACACACACACACACGTCTCCCTCCATCGCTGACACAAGGGTTGTTCTTGCAGAGCAGTCATGCAGAGGAGGAGGCGACGCTCCACATCTCTTTTCACTCTTTCTAGACTTCTTTTCATCCAAACCCCCCCTCTATCTCCAGCATATGAAAGGGCAGACCTTACAATAGAGTTATAGTTGAGGAAAGAGAATAGGGCAGCCCCTCAGGGCCACTAACAGACCCCAACACAGCATGTGTAAGTATGTGCACACATGACGACAACATCTGCAAGCAGGCCTCACTTTAAAACACACAGTGCAAATGTGTCTATCAGGTTTATCTCTGGTTAGTGGTGATGCCTGAGCACTAATGAACAGCAGCACTGAGTCAACCAATACCGGGAAAAACAGTAGCTACATTACAGCTCATTACAGCACAGAGGCAAAGCTCTCAGTCTAATTGGCTACAAAGGCCTATAGGCATGGCACACACTATATAAACACACACACTGTTCCTCCTGTGTTAAAGTACAAAGTCTTTTGTTTCCATTTTTTTTAAATCAGGCTCGACTACCCCAATGTCACTAAAGGTAATAAGCCGGGGGACTTCATAAAATGTAAAATTTCTTTCTTCTTTATTTCTTTTTTTCTTTACTTATGTGAATCTGTATATATCTACATATAATTTACTGTAGGTATTCTATACATGTTTATAATGTTTGTGACATATAAATGAGGAAAATAAAAGGCTACTTAGGGCCAATTATACCATGATACTATTACTGACATTGTCCTATTGATGCAGGCACACCAAGTGTTTGACCTCAGGTGTTTGGCATTGTAGGACTATCTGAGCACCATCAGCGGTCTATCCGTTAAAGCAATAGTGCCATAATCACACACTGGACAACACAGACTGAGTGATTGTGGTCAGTTAAAGCGAACGGGCAACAATGGATCAATGTGAGCTGATCATTATTGTCATCCTTTTGGACAGGTTGGCACCACCAGACTACCAGAAACGTCTCAACAGGAGCCACTGAAAGAGCTGCTGGGCTAATGGCTGAAGCTACATGAGGTTAATGTCTAATGGTTACAGCGTATAAGACACTGGAGAGGTTATTTGGCGTCTGCTGGTGGGTGGGGCTTTGCATAATGTAGTACATATACTGAAACTTAAATTGCACCTGCGACTTTGTGCTCTGTGAATACATGAAGCATGACTGAGGTATGCTGCTGCCAGAGAGTGTACAGATATGCAGCTGGTTTGGCTAATGATTCACTGAACAAACGTCAGAGGTCAGCTATGAGGGCAGGAGACAGGAATGTTTTATGATGCCAAGATTTGAGAGGATATTTAGCATAAGGCTGCTGTTTAAACGGTTTTAACATTCATGGACCAATTTGCAACTAATCAATGCAGGCATTAAGAACTCATTTATCTTCCACCAGTTTTTCCTCTAGTTCCACTTTATCTTTTAAAAGATCAATTTCTTTTTTAGGTTTTCAAATAAGCCGCTAACGTGACCCTTCGCTCACATATAGTAATATCTTGGCTTCGACAGTGTGGAAATAATTCATGTGCTATTTTTAGCATAGTCTGTAATGTAGTATAATAATGTAGTATGAAGTGCTACTTGGCTGTGGAAGTGACAGTGATAGGGTTAGGTTACTACTGCAAGGAGTAAACTATTCTTCTATTTTTAGTCTTGGAAAGTAAAAAAAAAAAACACTCTTGCTGCAGCCCCATGCACACATTTTCAAGGATTTGCACAAATTATTTTCCAGGACCATTCCAGGACATTTTTCTACAAGTTTTTCTTGACGATACAGGACAGCACTTGCTTACAAACTGTCATATAAGCTGCGGGTTTGACCACAGCTCATAAGTAACAGTTTATATCAAATAGAATTAATTTTATGCTACAGAAAATGAATCTACTAGAAAGTTAAAGTGTTTACTACATGTAAAATTAACACCATTGTGCATTTGTGCAGTTTATCATTATTAGTCTGTATGAATGTAGAGATGAGAAAAAAAAGATTGACTCAATGCCGATAAGATCACTGCAAGTCAGTTCCCCTTTGCATCTGGTTAACTAGCTTTGAAGTGTCATACAGTTTATCCTACCAACACTCAAACAGAATACACACCTAGGTTTGTGCGGGCGATCAGAATGAGAGGCTAAAATATAGAAATAATGTGACATTTGAAAGGCACGGGTGTTTATTTCAGAGGGTCTCATGAAAAGATGCTATTGGTTGCATCGTGGGAAATGTCGAATGCAGGGTTTTTAAACCTTAACCCATATTACAGAGTCTGGATATCTCAGCCTCTGCCGCTTTGATTTTGCTTTTATTTTTAACCCTTCAACTACTGCAGATTAACTCTGTCAGCAACCCGTGTTGAATATGTCTTAAAGTAGCTCTGTTTGTCAAAGCTTCTCATCTCCTCAGACGATAACCATGACAGAAGACACACCTGCAGTGTATCAGTATCATACTTAACGCATACTTCACAGACCCTGAATATAAACATAATCTCCAGCCCTGAACTTGCCATGGTTCTGCGCAGGTTAGGTATTCCAGCTATGCAGTTGCTGCTTTGATTTCCCACACTTTGAATGGAGTCAGTGAGGAGCAAAGGAAGCGAAGCAATGGAGGAGAAAATGACAACCCAACACACATCGTCAC